AAAATATTTCTTTATTAATATTTTACTAATCATTTTCATCCATTTGATTTTGAAGAGTCATTTTACTAATATTTTGTTTATCACAAGAAAATGCATATTTTCTTTTAAAAATCTTATAATGTATTTGATTCAAACAATCAATTCAAATCATCGAAAGAAAAAACATATAACTAATATTTAATACTAATAATCAATCAAATAAACACAATTCGTTAAATATATGTCAAATTTGATATAATGAGTTCAGATATATTCTATTTACACAGTTTGATAGGAGAAAATGCAAATTTAGGTTTAATTACTTGAAAAATTGATTGAAAATGAAGATTTGTAGTAAATGTGATAATTTGTAAAAAAATTATACACAAAATTTTAAAAATTAGAAGGGTTAAGATGTTGTTAAAAGGCGAAAGGAAAATAGCAAGAGCAAAAGAAAAGAGGAAAGAGAAAAATTCAAATTTATTATAATTTTGTTCATATTCGGTGGAGATTAAAGTCAAATTTTGAATAAATTTTAATAAAGGTTAAACATTTATGGATTCTATTAAATATGCTATTAAAATTAATTGTTAACTTGATTTAGATTAAAATTTAGATTTCAATTGATACCAAACATGACTTTATATATATAAAAAAAAAAAGTTCTCAAAAGTTGGGGGACACAGACCCCAGGACCCCGGAGTTCGGCCCTGGGTCAAGGTCAAATGATTTTCGAAATTTTACATCTATGTGCAGGGATGGAGCCGAGTGGGGATAAATAATTTATTATTATTATTTTTTTATATTGAACTAATACATTTCTAACAAAAACTAAATGGGTTTGGGGGAGGCTGGGGCCATCCCTCCACCCCTGGCTAGCCACGTATATACAAAGATATACAAAAAAAACTTCAACAAATATTTCTTTGAACCCATACGATCCATCATTAATAGGTCTACAAAGTTACATGATAAATGTTTTTTATTAACATTTAGTCCCTATTTGGTATACATTATTTTTTTTATTCTTATTATTCTACTCATTTTCAACCACACATTTTTTCATAAAATAATATTTTTCATCACATTAATAAATTTTCTTTCATTTTCAACCACACATAATCCATAAATCTACTATTCCATAATACATTCTTTCAAAATAATGTGACTCAAACACACCCTTACACGATAAATCTTTATAAGTTTCAAAATACCATTTACTTTTACGAAGTTACAAACCGAATCACACTTGTACATGTATTGAATTGATTTCCCAATTTTCTCATACGAAATTATTTATTAGAGACCAAATTTGTGAAAGGGAATATTACATATATAAGGTGGTTGCAAAATACAATTTCAAAATTAAGAAATTAGGTTTATTATTTTAGGTCTTAATTAAATTTTACTAATTAAACAATTAATTAAAACATATTTTATTAATTAAATATATCAAGGTCGTAGTATTATACAATTTATGGTCACGGTTACGTATTAATCACAATTATAGACGTCACAATCACAAATTTTATAGGTCACGACTTATTTTTCGGTGACAAATTTTACAAATCACAATTTCTTTATTGGCCATGGACTATCAAATTAATAGATCAAGTATTATTTTCTGTCATAAATCATAAATTTTATAGGGTCACGATTTATTTATCGATCACATATTATCAAATTAATAGGTCATGTATTATTTTTCAATCAAAAATCCCAAATTTTATAAGTCATGGCTTATTTCACGATCACAAATTATCAAATTAATTGATCACGATTATTTCTGGATAACAAATTATTAAATTAATGGATCACAACTTGACAAATTGTGAGTCAAAATTACAAATTTAATTAGAATTTCATATTTTTCAGTTCTTTTATTGGTCACCAATTAATCAATTTATTGATAATAATCATCAAACTAATTAGTTATAAATCATTTTAATCTCACCCAGTCCCAAATCTAACCCCAACCCAAATTCACCACTGGCACCAACGGAACTCCCCCACCACCTCACCACAACCAGCATTATCGTCGCCACATTACCACTACCTTCGCCAACACTATCATAACTTGTACCACCATCGCCAACACCTTACCACAATCGGCTGCACCACCACCACCACCACCAAAAACAACCCCAAACAAATCAAAGGAATAAACACCACCATTTGCAAATCATAGTAACACGGGCCTAAGACACTCCATAATGTAGATCAGATGAAGAAACACGTCGTGATCACAACACGTCGCTATGCATGGCAGTGATATCATCACACAAGATGCCACTGCGCAGAGGCGCTGTGAGCGCGCAACGACACTCACAACGTCCTTTCACAATGTGCGGTACTCATTGTCGGGGACACTGCTGCGAACTACAACGCAACACCCTGTTGTAACAGTCGGTGTTGCTTACCTGGTGGGCGGTGTGAGGGAGAGAGAGAGAGAGGAGGGAATAGTTAAGGTTTGGAAAGTGAAGGTTGGATGGGAATGAGGTGTGGTGTGGTGGGTACATAGATTAATTTAATTTTATAATATTATTATTAATATTAAAAATTTCAATTATCATCTATTTTTTAAATAAATAACTTTTAAATTTGATTTTTGAATTCGATAGTTAAGAGAAATATTGAGGAGTTTACATTTATACCCTTAAAATTTGGACCATTTTGAAATATCAGTATAAAAAGTAAGGCATATAATTAATCATGCTTTAATTACAGGCAAAATCGTATTAATTACAGTTAAAGGAAAACTGAATAAGAATAGGAAAACTTTTCGTATTACATGTAAAACCTATGATGTTTATTCTTAGAGATGTAAAATTCTTTGGATTCGTAGCATCTCATATCAGCAAATTTGTTGAGTTTCAACTTGTAAGCTTGCCTATCTGGTTCACTTTGTAAATGTATAGAATGTTCGCCTTGAACACTTTAAAACACCTTTTCTTCTCAGTTAGATCTCGAAAAAGTGTGTGGTGGCTTCTGCCCATATCGTACAAATTCGATGGGCTCATTCGAAGCCAAATCCTTCTTTGTGAACTCCATGCCCTCTGAAAGTCCAAAGACCACAACAAATAAAACATAAGCCAAAAACACCCTCCAAATTTCCATCTTTTCGATATCAGAATTTGATTTTTCAACATACCTTAGAAAGTAAAAAAAAAATCTATATGTAGAACTAACTTGCAGCTGAGGCACAAGTAGCATTCCAAAAAACTTTACAAACTAAAGAATGACACCAACTTTGTTAATCTCATCAATTGGAGATGGAATTTCGACCCAAAAAAGGGGTATAGAAATGGAGTTCACTCCAATTTGTAGCAAAATTAATGCATAAAATCCAATAATGGCCACACAACAAAATTTTAAATAAGGGTAAAAAAGGGATTAATATAGCAGCATGACATAAAACTCCGAAACCATAAAAATGGCTGCATGGTTGCCAAGTCTATATATATATATACCCATCAAAATTAGGATATACTATGAAAATCCATATTACATACAACATACATACAAAGAACAAAAATTCCCTAAAACCCTAAACAAAGTCAAAACGGTGTCCATGTTTTCTTACCCATGGTTTAAGTCTCTAATGGTGGCGCGCTATTAATCGATGGTGATTTTTGACGGAATGACCTTCAACAGTGAGGGTTAGTGTTTTGTTATTTCAGAAAATGACTTCTTTTAATCAAATTTTGGCATTTTTAGCGTACTAATTACGGTCAATTTAAAGGATTAATGAAAAAAATATGAATAAGCACAAACATTATTTGGAAACTCTTTTTTTTAAGTACTTATTTTTAATCATACATTCACATAATAAAATATTCTGCGCGTAAATTTAAAAATTTTCCTATTTTTTAACCACGCATTTTCCCTGAAAATCGCTATTCAGAATATTATTTTTATCAAATAATGGCCATCAAAAGGGGCTAAGTGTATTATTCGATTTTATTGTTGTTGGGCCATACTGGGCCTAGTTTCCCCAAAAAATATTGATGGGCGCAATTTCCTCTGTTAAAAGTGGAAATTGGAGGGAGCAAGTATTTTCAAGATCTCAATTCGTAATTAAGAGTTAACAAGTTTTTCTTTCAAAAATAAGATATAATTAAAGTCTCGATATTAATAATAATATTATAAAAATTATTTCACATATCTACCCCACTATCATTTACCCTCCCAAACTTTAATTATTTTCCAATCTTTCATTTCTCTCTCTATACAGTCGACCCCTCACTTCCCTCTTCCTCTATGTCTTTCATTCTCTCTCTATATTTCACCTCTCTTCATTCTCTTTACCTTCCACCACCGCATGCCACTCTTTATTTTCTTTACCTTCCACCACTTCCCAAGGCACTCTTCCTTTTCCTTCCTTCTCTACGCTCTACATCACACATTGACTACCAAGTAAGCAGCACCAATTGTGATTTCTCCTGTTGCTCATGAAAGAGCTATGATACAATGGATGATAGAAGGTCTGTGCGCTTCTAAACCGATCGTGTACCTCTGCGCCTAAAAGCACCTTTGTGCAATGACATCACGACGATGATGTCGCTGTTGGGCACAGTACCCACTATGATGGCATTGTTGTTTCTTCCTCCGATTTGCTTTGAGGGTATTTTTGGTGTATTGTACTGTGATATGCTTTGGTGGGGTTTTGGTTTCACCATGATTTTGTTGGTAGTGTTTGGGTAGTGGTGGTTGTGATGATGGCTACGGTGGTCAGATAGTGGTGATGTTGGTTGTGGTGGCGATCATGGTGGTAGTGCAGAGGTTGTGGTGGTGGCGTGCCTGGGATGAAGTGTGTGAGGGCATTTGTGACCAATAAATAATGCGGGGCATAAAAATGTGATTTTGATTCACAATTTATTAAGTCATGATTAAGAAATAACTTGCGACCACTTAATTTGATAATTTTGTGACCGTTTTATAAGTTGTGACTTATAAAATTTCTGATTTATGAATAAGAAATAATTTGTGACCTATAAAAAAATTTATTTGTAAACAATTAATTCGATAATTTGTAACCAAAGTGTAAAGAATTGTGACTTTAATATATTTAATTAATAAAATATATTATTAATTAATTATTTCATAAATAAAATTTAATTAATATCTGATATTTAAAGTTTTAAATATTATTTCTTAATTTTGTAATGTTAATCTTTTATATATGAAATTTTCTCCCATTAAAACTATATGCATTACCCACGTGCCTAAATAAAATCGAATAATATTATTTGTTATCATGATAATATGAATGATGCGACAATACATTACTCCTCACATTTCTCTTTCTTTCCTCCCCTCTCTCATAAAATTTGAATTATTCAATCTTAATAGTCTATATAAACTATCACCTCCCCCACTATTCCATCATTATTTAGAGCATGTATGGCTAAGTTTAAAATTCAATTAAAATTGAAAATATAATCATAATTGGGTCTCACTCATTTAATAAAAGTCAACAATAACAATTAATTTTTTAATTTTAATTCGATTTTAATTTTCGGTGTAGATGAATAATATTGTTCAATAAAATCGAGTAAGCGGCCCTAAAGGGCCCATTTGCAAACCAAACCCTCCCAAACTCGAAGCATATTCCGTTTTGTCCAGGGAGTCCCTTCACGAAAAATTCCAATTCTCTACGGGAAAATACGGCTGATTTTTATACTTTACTTTGATCCCTGTTTCTCCTCTAGAAACTTTATCGAAAAATAGACTTTCTTTAACTGAATTCAGCATTCTCTCTTTCTTCAGCTACAAACAAAAGCCCTCAATTTTTTAAAGGTCTAATGTTTTATTCAAATTGGTATATGCATTAACAATCGATTCTGTATTTATATACACTGCCTATGGCTCTTCCCCTCGGCAAGCTCACTCTCATCGTTGGTGCAGGTCCGTGCACATCTATCTTTATTTTGTTACTTATTGTGTGTACACAAATAAATTGTTGACTTTCTAGTTGGGGCTGGGATGAGTAGCTCGTGCTAGGTATTTTTTTTGAATCAAGAAAGGAATTTAGGTTTTTTGATAAACCATGTTTTGGTTTTGTGGTCATTTTGTACCGAACCACATTGATTTTAGTTTTATGCTTAGTGTATAACCTTAGCCCTTGGTTGATTTTATGGGTGCTTTTTGTTTATTTTCTTAAGTGGGTTATTTAGTGTGTGAATGAGGTCCTATTACGAGCAGAGATTTAAGCTGAATTTAGTACTCTGAGAAAAATAAATATTAGTAGAAGGCAACTGCTGCATGAATTTAAAAAGTTATTTTCTATCTCAATTTAGTGAAGAAAATCTTGAATGACTCTTGTGGAAAAATTCCACGGGTTGTGGACAGAAAGAATAGGGTGAAATTTTATTTAATAAGTGACAGGTGGAGAAGACTGTCCTCATGTCTCATTCATTTTCTGTCGTGTGATTGATGTTGTATTCTGTGTTAAGGGATAAATCCCAGGTTTAATACTGAAATATAAATCAACATATAACCATTTAGGCGACTTCTTCCACTGAGGTAAGTGCCCGATCGTAAACCTCATGGCATCGTGTGATTAGTCGAGATGCTTGCAAATTGGTTCAGACATTCACGGTTATAAAAAAAGTTGACAATTTAAGATGAAACTCCATATCTTAAGATGACATCAAAGTCCATTAAGTTCCAATGAGCAATTCGATTCAATTACACTCAGGAAAATGAGTATAAGGATTTCAAGATTGGTCTGTTCAAACGAGCCACTATCTCGTGAGAACATGTTAAAGGATAAATCATATATTGGTGAAGTACCGAAATATAGACCAACAAGAACTTGGGTTACTACACTACCACTGAGAGGTGTTGTGTATTTTTGTTATTTTTTCAATGGCCAAAAACAGAGATGCTTTTTAGCTGTTTCTCTGACTATTTTATGCTAACTTGTATATCTGCTCATGGTCTGTTTGTGGTTCTTTTTCTGTAAGTTGGAGATGTTTTAATCTTTTTGTAATTGTAGCATCTCTGGTATGTAGTCTTAGGCAATGTTAATACTATATTTTGGGAATGATCGTAAAGGTTGAGCTGTTTTCCGTTACTTGAAATAGCTTTGATTTTTCAATTCCCATTTTATTGTAACTGTATTGCTAGATTGGATATCTCCTGGTGATCAATTACTGGCATTACAAACATGCTAGCTTTTCCACCATTAATAAACTCTGCCCCTTGCATTGCTCTCAATGTGTCCCTTTTTGGCACGGACAATCTTTTATGCTCAGTCTAGGGCTCTGGACCTATATTATGAAAGAAGTTCACCTAGAAAAATATAAAGACTTTCTTGCAATGGTTATTCACGCATTCTGCTTTCTTTCAATTGTTTAACACATACACAAGGGAAAATTTCTCTATCCAAGAAAAAGATTGCCGTAAGACAAGAATAATTATCCGTATTTCAATTGAATTCTGTTCTTAGTAATCTGTTTGGCCGAGATACTGATTTTTGCTGTGATAACCAATTGATGGCCTTTTAGCTTACGGGATGCAACCCTTTACGCTGTAGTTGGTGTTATTTTGGTCTATTGAGGCTTTAGTAGGAGGAAGCACAGCTTTGCTTAGAACATAGCCATCTTTTTTTTTTTCAGGCCTTGTTGGGTCAATTCTTGCTAAGGAAGGACGCATATCTGACGTGTCTGGTTTTTTCTCTGGTACTTTTAAGGTAGTTCCTGTTTTGGCAACTAGATCTCACAATATTGTTTATAGACCCTATGCATAGCAGTCTTGCTGATGAAACTTCTCTAAATGTTAGAATTAGATCTTGTTACACATTTTTATTTGATGGCAGATTTTGAAGAAACTACAGCGAGATGATCCAACCACTTCAAATGCCAAACCAAAGAATGATTCTTTGTTGCGACAGGTTTACAGTTTGTTTAATTGTTACTGTATATACATATATTTTCATTTTCTTTGTTTTATATTTAGAGGCTTTTATTTGGGATGTACCTTATAATTTTTTGTCTTCGAACCTTATCCTTCTTAATGTTGATCGTTGACATGACATTTTTACACTATTATGGATTTCAAACTGAATTTATGCATGGAGTAGGATTGGAATGCCTTTTATGATTTCTTATAATTGTCATTTGCTCAGGTATAAGTTGATGCTGAGTATTACTTAAAATGCCTCGTTTCCATGGTATTAACTATTTAGCGGTTAGTATCACATCAATCACTGTTTCTCATGTTGAAAAAAATGCCTGAGATGGCCTTTCAAAGCTCTCGCTGATTGAAAATCATCCAGGTATTACCGAGATACTAAAAAACTCGAGGATTTCATATCAAACAAGTACCACTAAAATAATGCACATAAACCCAAGGAAACATTAATAACTTAGGTACTAATAAACTATGACACTTTATACCCAAGGAAACATAAGAACTTAGGAGTTTGGTGTAAAAACAACTTTGCATTCTGTTTCAACCTACTTTGCTTGGACTCAGGCATGGGCGTCGAATACTTTTCTAGGAGTCAGATCATTTTTCTTTTTAAATCTAGGATATGTGGATATGGTTAAAAAAGGTCCAAAATTTGGACATAGTTACGTGGATATTCCTTTCAAACTTAAATTATTTGTTGAAATTTATATACTTATAATGTTAGGTGCATTTTTAAGGTATATAAATATATATCATATATCTCATGTGTTTGAGTATAAATTGCTAAAAAAAGATTGTAAATTATAATACTTCATTTGGGTGATATTATTTTAGAATTGTAAACAATCCATGCGAGGGGTTTGGTTAAGATTGCCAAGCCATCTTTGACTATTAATCAACAATTCGAAGTGTTATTCTTGTGTATTCTTGATAAACCAGCGTTTATATATAGATGCAGCGGATCTGTTTGGGAAGTAAGAAGCCCCTTTGACATCTCTTCACATGCAAATAATTTTAGAAAACAAAAACAAATATTTGATATCATCCTCGATACTGAAACATATCATAATATCCATAAGTTGATTCGAGATCTTGCTATCAACTTCTTAGCCTAAAAAAAGTAATCTTTCTTGATAAAATTGGGTTTTTTTTTTTGGCAAGGTACTGTTGGTTGGCTGATTGAATTCTAATAAGTGTTTTAATTGAATTCACCGGGGCTTAGCATTAATGGGCTGGTTTCTTGGCATAAGAAATCGCTGTTAATGCTTTTAAATATCTTGGTCAGTTTCTTTCAAAATGGCGCTTTAAAAAATGTGTTCTAGGCTTCTTTAAAAGCCGCTTTTTATCAATTAATAGCGTCTGTGATTAGGGTTTCTCTTGTAGTTGCCGTTTGCTGGTTCTATTCAACAACTTCCCTTCCATCTTCTTGCCGTATCATATTCAAATTTGAAGGATCCAAGCCCGGAACCTGTACCCTTGTCGTGTCTACAGGGGTACTTCACCCATTTTGAAAGTCTGAGCATCACCTGTTTCCACCCCATGTTAATTAAGAATTAAAGTCTTGTGTGCAAAGAGAGTAACTATGTCATGGGTAAAAGAATTATATGGCTCTCATTGTTACAACTAATTCTAATGGAAGAATGCTACAAAATTTGATTATGATTCTAAATGTTGGATGTTTTGATATTACATGTGTTTACTGGTAATTGATTATCACTGGAGTCAAGATAAATTATGCAATTACATTACATGTAATATACAGTGAGTTCAACTGTTGTCCCACATGAAACTTGCATCCATTGCCCTCATATCACTTTGATATTTCATGTCTTCCCCTTACCACATTTTTTTGTTGTATGTTCTTATTGCAGAAACTTTGAATATTTGATTTGTACAGGTTAATAGCTTGAGGGAGGAGCTGCAACTGTTGGCATCAAGTAGATCTGTTACAATTGTTACATCAAACACTTCAGGTTTCTGTTATCATAAATTCATAATTCACATGAAAGCAATTAGAATGTAATGCATCTTACTGCAAAACCCACTCAAAAGATTTTTGTTTCTTTCAACAGATTAAGATTTAGTGCAAGGATATAAATCTATTTCATGAAACTTTTGTTAATTTAACATCACATATAAAATATAATTATTTTCCTTAACAGATTAGGTTCTAGACAAGGATAAGTAACTTTGTCATGAACCCATCTGTTTTCATTATCATCTTAATCTAATATCAAAAGGTAAAGATCAGATTTTTCTTTTCTCAATATTCATTTTAAGCATAAAATACTATTAGAATTATCCCACTTTGGTGGTATGCAGTAGCCTCTGATATGGAACCTTCAATTTCAAGTAAGTTACAAAGTGTACCATAAATTTGGAACAGTGAAATCATTTTTTCGTCTCTTCATGAAATTTAGGGTGTTATCGGTATTGTGTTTATAAACCTGCGTAGATGAAATTCAAGTCTACTTATCTTATTGCTGTTGTTTTCTTTTTCTTATAAAATTTAAAAGCTTAACGAAGCCATGGATATCATTGTCTAGGTTGCAACATTTTGCAGCTTTGGTGTATCTATTCTTACCTGCATGATATTTTTGCTAATAATTTTTTCTGACCTTTTTCGTAAGATTTTTTCGAGCGATGACTTAACTATTGTTTGTTCTTGATTGACATTTCTTTTTAACTATTTACAGGATCTGGAAAATATGGTGTAATTATTGTCGTTGTAGTTGTCGGGTTTGGCTATATTTGGTGGAAGGTAATTATGTTATTCTTTATGGTCATGATTTAAGAAAACAGAAATTTGATTTTGATCATTTTGCGACATCAAGAAGTTGTATTGTCTCGTTAAAGAGTTATGTCTTCTTCAAGATACACTTTAAGCTTGATACTATGATTCTTAATTTGAGTTTTAAATAAATTCCAGAGAAATATATACATAATCTCCTTTTGCAAGGGCTCTCCATGATGACAAGTTTGTAACATCATTTTATTTCAAATCTTGGAGACTTATCTTTAGAATATTCTTACCTAGAACTAGATACTTAAGCAGAGCTCTGTGGAGTTACTTTTACGTAGAAAGCAGAATAAAGCCTTCAAGTACACATCTGCTGTTAGAATACTTATTGGTGGAAAAATCTTGACCGTTCACACGTCGATGGCATGAGGATTTTGTTGGCCGATGGATGGATGAAGAGCTTCATCTTGTTAGACAAGTGCCAATTTTGATATGGGTGACCTGCAACTCTTTAGAGGCTATATGTTCAACTCTCGGAACACGGAATATGCTAATCCTATTTGATTTCTGCTGAACCTAAATGATGAACTCTGTGGGTTTTTTTAATGTTCAAGACAGTTTCAAGAGGGATTATGTTTTGAAAACTCATTTTGAATTTCGGAGCTTCTCATACCTAGGTAGAAATTTTTTGCCCATCGTTGTCAAATACTTAAAATGGTGACCACTCAATATAACAGGACAACTTTTTGGTCTATCAGAAACAAGACAAAAATTAATGCTGAGATTACCCCCTTTATGTTCCTTTTTCACATTATTGTTTTCTGAAATAAATGTTAGATTTCTTGTATTCTAAAGTTCATATCTTAAGTTTTCGCTCTGTCTTCAGATCTCTGTTTTGGCTGATTAGTATCTTGTAAATTTTTATGTGGTTTCAGGGTTGGAAATTATCTGATATGATGTTTGCAACCAGGCGTGGCTTAAATGATGCATGCGCTTCTGTAGGCAAACAGCTTGAGGGTGTCTACTCTTCGATTTCGGCAAGTTCTTGTTCAATAATTCGTCTTTTCCACATTTTCATTTTATCTGTTTACTAATTTTACCTTTTTGAGATATATCGTGATAAAGACTCGGCAGTATCTACACATTATTCGTAGCTGTATAATCTATCAAATATACCGGTCATTTTATATTATATATTGTTAGTTCATCTCCATCCTTAGGTTCAGTACAATATATTGCTTCGTGTTATTATATATTTGCTAAGAAATAGTAAAGTTAAAATAGATTATTTTCACTCTGCTGTGATGGATTTGAATTTGCTAGCTTTAAGTTTCGTTATCTCTTTCAACAAGTGGATGATTGACTATTGATAGTTTTTCTTCTCGATTGTTTATTTTACCTTCAATCTTCTGAAGTCTTTCAAGTAATATTAAGTTGATCACTAAACTTAAATCATGTACACTTTCAATGGATCCACTAGTATTATCCACTTATCCACCACTTATTTCTATCTATTCATATATTAAATTGTTTATAAATTCTTTCCAAATAGAGGCTTGTATGAACAGAATTTAGCTGTTCAGCGCTCTTAATCCCTGTTAGACTCTGTTATTGGTTATTGATGGTGTTTACTCCACTAAGAAATGTTACTGTATCGTGTCAGATGCATGTGGGTATGGTACTTGAAGACTGCTTATGTGTCACTTATCTTCTTACCTTTTCAGGCGACTAAGCGGCATTTATCTTCAAGAATTGATCATGTAGACTGTAAAATTGACGAGTGTGTGGATAATTCAACTGCAACTAAAGAAGAGGTTAGATATATCAATGGTGACTAGTGGTTCAATTTTGCTCCCTTTATTTGTCCGAGTATCCTGCCAAGTCACTAATCATGTGATAAATTGAATAGGTTTCTGAATTACGAGGAGAAGTGAAACTGATAGGTGCAGACGTCCAGTCAGTTCACCATGTAGTGCGATCTCTGGTGATTAGTCTCTACACTGCTCACGCTCTCCCCCACTTGTGTATTTTCATCTAATTTTCATGGTTCTGTTGGATCCAATTGGAAACTAATTTCTTATATTTCTATTTTACAGGAGACAAAAATTAGTAGGATAGAGGGGAGACAGGTAATATTTGAGTTTAACCTCTGGAATTCTGTGGCAGAATCGATGCAGTTCTTTCTACTGTCTAATAATGAGTGCTGATCATATGCTATCATCTGTGTAGAATGAAACGAATTTTGGAGTTGGAAAGTTGGTTGGTTTTGTGAGAAATCTTGAAAGCAACAGAACTGTGGAGCAAATTGAGGCAAGAACAGAAACTTTATTCTCTTTCTATTTAATTTTAGTGATAATTGTGGATTTCCTAAATTTTGTTCTTTGCAATCTGTAGGGAGCTACGTCAAATTCTTCTCGCCCTGCTCTTGAATTGCCACTAGTGTCTCCATCAAGGGTAGAATATTATCTTTTGTCACTGCAAAGTATTCACTTAGCTAATCATGATAGGTTCTTATGTCATTCTAAACTCTTTTGGCAAACACTGTCATTATTTACTGATTCAATAATGTAATCTTCACCCAAGATAATCTCCCCACTCCCACCCCTACCCAAAAAAGAAAATATGTAAAGAAATGTAATGAGAGAAAGCCTTGTAGGTCATATTCTCTATATGCAGGACAGATCCAACTCAAACTAACTGTAGGATGTAATTTCTGTTTCTTTTCTTGGTTCTGTGTTTTTTTACAGGCTGTTTCTTTACCTGCCAATTCATCAATCGAGCCACCTTCACCCTCTGACAAATCTAACAAGGTTTGTAGACTCTGCATTCTACATAGATAGTTATGGCATATATACATGAGAAGCTAATTTCCCTAGTTAGTTACAGGAAAAGTGAAATGTCTGAGACCTCTGTGGTTCTTATGTTACTTCTGTATAATGTATACCGTAATGCAATTTCATCCTTTCCATTATATTGTTTTTCAAGCTAGTATCTCGGAAAGTTAAATGTCTGAAAAATCTGCAGTTCTTTTGGTTACTTTGCTGAAATAACTGCTACAGTTGTATCAAAAATAGAAAATTCTAGACATCTAAGGACTGTTTTCCTGATTTCTGCTCAACGATCATTCGTCTCCACTGAAGTATTGTTATTTCTTTTCTGCACTGATTTATATTTCTTTTTCAGCACCCTCTGCAAAGTACTATCTCTGGCTCGGGGTTGAAGGTAATATCTTACTTCATTACAAATTTACATCCTTCATATGCTTTTGCACATTTAGTGTCTAACGCATCAGTTCTCTATTTTAGGATCTTTATGAAATCTCGGATGGAGTCAGAGTATCAAGCCTTGGCACCCCTCGGGTTTCAAATGGGGTTCATGCATCGGAAGATACAAAGAATGAAATTCCCGGTTCTGGTCTGTTTGGGAGAACGTTTTCTGGCATCAGTGCCTCTTTCCTTAAAAGAAACTGCAGTGTGAAGCCGTCTTTTAAGTAGTCCAGTGTCGGCAATCTACTTAAAGATATACTTTTCCTTTAAGGTTAGCCGCAGCTAGCTGAGCACACCCCTTGACACAGGCAGAGCCGGGTCATATTTGTGGTTATTGAATTTTGTAGAGACGTTTATGTTATAAAATTGCTCTAGGATATGTGTATTAGTTCGGGAGAAAAGTAATTTTCTCATAAAAAAGTAGCACACAGACAAATTCTCAATAAAAAGGTTTCGTTTAGTTTAGTCTTTCCTGCCTCTATTTTTATTTTTATTTTTATTTTTTGTTACTATTGTTTCTAGTACCAATTTAAGTTCCTTTGTTCTAGTCAATATCTATGTTAGGCTCTCCTTCGCGGTTGTCCTATCTTGTTCAATCCATTGTTCTTCTGTCTGAGGAAGCAAGAAGAATTGTCATTTTATGCCCTAACTTGGGTTGTTGAAGGTTGCACTTAGTCGGTTTAAAGCGGGCTATCCAGCCTGAACTCACTGGGCAGGCCGGGCAATAGCCTGAGCCGATTCCAAACTTGTTTAGTTAAAGGTGGCACATAGTGATGTTAAAACGGGTAGGTAAGCCTGAACACTACTGTTTGTTTAAAAAGTTGGTTGAAGTGTACAACACTGAAGACTAGATGAGTTAGTACTGGTGGTTCTTGTTATTAGAGCATCTCCAATGACGGTGTAAAATTGACCTCATGTTTGGTTCGGATTAAAATCTGATTTTAATTCAAGTCAAAGTCAAACAATTAATATTAACTATATTTTCCATAACTTTTCAACCACATATTTCAAAAACTTCTATTAAAATCTATTAAAAATTTAATTTTAATCTTTACCAAACACCCTCTGAGTATAAATTGGCATCTCCAAAATACTTTTACATCCTCAATTACATTCCAGGGGATCTAAATTTAAAGTCTTCACCATGAAAAATGGCTTGTTGAATTAAATCCAAGTGTCATTTGAAAGTGTTAAAAATCATCCATTTGTGCTTTGGAGATGAAAATATTGGGTATTGATACATATTAATCACATAATTATCCATTTACTGCATTGCATGCCCGCCAGTTTAGGTCAATGACGATAATAATGAGATACTTTTTAGGTACATACAACACTTCTTTGCAGGATGAAAAAGGGTCCCCTACCCTTAACACGACGCAGCAAAAGAGTGGTCCAAAACATCTTTATCCTTTTTCTGGTTTTGATTTATGACATTCTTGGTAGCAATGATGGGCCACAGCTCAAAATGTTATTAGTGTGGCGTCAAAATTGGCAGACAGTTCAAGTTCAGTGGGACCCAGCCCTCTAAAAGTTGGATCGAAATCAGCCGGAGCCGGTTAATGGGTTGGTCTATTAATAATGATGGGCCATGCTGGGTTGGATTTTTCAATGATCAGTTTCGTCGGCTCGATTTATTATAAAATTTGTACCATTACTAATAAATTCTACTTGTAAAGTGCTTTTTTACCTTCCAAAAAAAAAAATTAAGGATGTTATTCGCAAATATATGAATAAGAATATAGTTTTTAAATTACAGATAAAATACTGTTGGACTAGCTCAATCTACTCACAACATTGGCAGGTTGGCGGGCTGGTTCAATCCACATATTTCGAAGAAGCTTCGAGCTAGCTAGGATCATATTTTTAGTTGGGTTGGTTCGGGCCCGCTACAAGCTTAATGCCAGATCGATATACAACAAGAGTGGGTTATGACATTCTTGAAATTATGAGTACACTTTTTAAATTAATAGTCATAGTCAAATGAGTAAAGTGCAAAAAGGATGGGCTGCTAAAATAGAACAGTTAAATTTTCCTCTTTCAGACCAATGACCATGGATAATGTCTCCTCCCTTCAGGCAAACTGAGGTACAATCATTTAGTGCATGAAAGCGTGATCGTGTGACTCATATTCCTCCAAGAAATTAGTATCTTAGTTGTTTGCTATGAGCTAATGGCTGCCGACGATTCTCTTGAAAATGACTGTTTAGAACAGTTTCTGAGAATGCCAAAAAATACTTTCATTTATGCGATCATATGACAAGTTTTTGCCGGTTATGTATGAAGTGTATTAAACTCTTTTGGGAACATTTGAAGGATATTTTGTGTGTTGAATTTATTAATAAGGTAACATTCCCTTTCCAATCTTGTGTAGTTTCACGTATTGAATATTCACATCACGGCAAGTCTCAAATTTTATTGAATGTCTTTCTGCAATAGTCCTGTCAAGTTACGTAGTGATTCTCTAATGCTCAAGCTAAAATTTGATTTTAATGAGATAATACTTGTGACAAAATGTTTGTTAAATCGTCGTATATATACGTCTATGAAACTAAGTTTTTGAGAACACCAAAAGTTATTGTCTTCATCATTGATCAAGGATTCTATTGTATCATGATGTGGTAGACATGACAAATTCTTTCATTAAAATATAATGTTATTTGGACGTTTTTATTGTTGATCAACGAATGATTGAACATGTCGTCTCTCACTATTATCACATGTCGAGTTTTGTTAGATTTTACATACTAAATTTTGACGTGAAGACAATTGTGGGCTTAACGAGGAAGAGTTTTTACATGTTTTTATTATTATTTACATATAAGTTGGAGTTGAAGAAAACAATCAGAAATAGCCGTCTCGTGTCTATTTATAAGTATTTATTTACTTTATGAAAGTATTAATCGAAATAGAATAAATAGTATATTAAAAATTATACGACCCTTTTTTGTCAAAAATATTTATACCAGAAGATTCGATTAGAATATGCTTTGGTGGGTGAAATCATGAAATTATCTCTCTTCAATGATGAAGTTTGAATGATCCTTTTTGAAACTAATTATTTTTTTCCTTCTATTTTCTTTGAGGATACTGGATATATACATAGATTGCTCTTCTTTTTCTTTTCCATTTTTCTAAAAATTTTGAAGCCACTTAATTTTATACTTTTAACCCTTTAAAAATGACGGTGAATACATTTATTATGAAAAATTACAAGAATTAGTTATCATAGTAAAAAATAGAATTTCCAGACGATAACAAATCAGTTCAAAAAGGTCAAGTGAGAAAACTAATGTGACAAAAATGAATAGTAAATAAGGGATTCCCTCTTTTAAAATAGGAGGGATAACTTGACACATTTGCAACAACAACAACTGACAAGAATATGTTACCCTTAAGTGGCAAGTAATTGGGCTCAAATTATTTTCCGTTCTTGCAAAATGTTATGTTTGGCTTTTAGATGTCTTAATTTTAGTCTTTCCTAGCGATTAGAATATGCTTTGGTGGGTGAAATCATGAAATTATCTCTCCTCAATGATGAAGTTTGAATGATCCTTTTTGAAACTAATTATTTTTTTCCTTCTATTTTCTTTGAGGATACTGGATATATACATAGATTGCTCTTCTTTTTCTTTTCTATTTTTTAAAAATTTTTGAAGCTACTTAATTTTATTCTTTTCCCCTTTTAAAAATGACGGCGAATACATTTATTATGAAAAATTACAAGAATTAGTTATCATAGTAAATAATAGAATTTCCACCGCCTATTAATATAATAGAATAGGTCCCGAAAAAGCGGCTCGCCTTTCTTCATCTATACCAGGCTTACCAGCTGCCATGCACGATAACAAATCAGTTTAAAAAGGTCAAGTGTGAAAACTAACATGACAAAAATGAATAGTGAATCAGAAATTCCCTCTTTTAAGATAGGAGGGATAACTTGACACATTTGCAGCAACAACAACTGACAAGAATATGCTACCCGTAAGTGGCAAGTAATTGGACTCAAATTATTTTCCGTTCTTGCAAAATGTTATGTTTGGCTTTTAGATGTCTTAATCTTAGTCTTTCCTAGCGATTTGATAACAAGGGTTAGGTCATGACTCCGATTTTTATATTAAACTCTATTTCTAGTCAAGACAATATGTCAGATCATACTTTAGATGAATCGTGCAACTTTTCGAGTAACTAGAGAATTAAAAAATCACATGAAACTTGACAACACATAATTGTATTATTTAGGACAATGTTTAAGGAATTGAAGTTGTCTCAAAAAACTTTATTTACAACTGGTACAAGTCTCTAGGGATTTTATTTCTCCAATGAGCATCAAACAGCCTATAAGCATACACATGAGCCAAATTTTGTGAGAGAAATTATAATTTTGTCTGTTAAATTAGTCAACTTAAATTCCATTAAGTACAACTTGTAAGCTAGAATCATGATTAAAATAATATGTAGTTCTGACTTGTAGTCGTTGGATTTGTCTGCACTTTTTTATTGTTTCGTAGTTCATTTACTGGGCTGCCAAATGTGGTCTGATTGCTTTGGGGCCCAATTATATGTTTCGAAAAAAATTGGGTCCCATCATTAATTAATCAACAGCCGAAAGGATCAATCACGCAATGGAGGTCCCACTAAAAAATACATATTAGATTTTTTAAGGAAAAATTAGATTTAAGCTCCCTATTCTTTTAATAAGTATGTATTTAGGTCCTAACCTATATTTCTTAAATCAAAATATCTACAAAATAAAAAATGTCAATAAGATATAAAAATCGTTAAATCACTTAACTTCCAACTCAGTTTACATTAAAGCGGTGTACGAATTTTTAGGTTTATGTTAACGATATTTGTTACATAGGGACCCAAATCTATAAATTTATATAGATGGGGACCCAAATCATACTACCTCAAAGGATGGGGGCACATCCTAATTTTTCCATCTGCGAAGGAAGGCTCGTACTAATAGTGTTTGTTGTGGATTATCAATCCCGACATGACTGATGAAAGTTTTAATTGATTAGTTTAACTTTCAAAAGAATTAATTGCTTCGACTTACATCTATCGGTATGAGAGGTAGAGTTATGCATGAATTCCTCCAAAATTGTGACTATCGATGTAAAAGAACAATTCTATGAATATTTGGAATGTTATATGAAACAAAACTAGATAATGTATTCAAGTTGTCTCAATCTATACTATATAACAAATATGTTACAAAAAACCGAAACCAACGTCATCCACACCTCTTACGCTATCTTAAGTTCGGATTATTACGTAAAATGATAAAATCTTGTTAAAGCTTAAGATAAGGATGAGACGAGGACATTAATAAGAAAGAATGTGACCCGTAATACAACCATTTGTACTTTTTCTATCTTTTTATCTCTCACATAAAATATTGATGGCTACAAACACTGTCCCTTTCTTTGCCACTCGTTTATGGGACATATTTTCCTTTTCTTAACCTAATTCTTTCATATTATTTTAATCACTTGTTACTACACAGGCTAATTGCCTCAAAAGTAAAGGAAAGGAAAGGTGAGTTAACTAGTCATAGTAAAATCCTCTCTCACACACATACTTTCTCTGTATGTGAGAGAACATCGTTTCTGCTAATAGGGAATTTCTTGCCCACATTCCCCCAAATTTCAATTTGTTGGACTTGGGACCCCATTTATTTTTGGTTACATTTATGCCCCCAAACTGTCTTTGTACACACCAGGACAAATAGACGAAGACCATTCTCATACTTTTTAATCATATATAGGTTTCAAATTGTCTTTGCTAGTACACATCAAGACAAGTAGAAAAAAAAAATTGTTCAATTTTCTGTCAAGTAGTCAATTAAAGGATGGAAAGCTTAGATTACAGGTACACATATAACCCCTTTTCAAATTAGGTCACGTGCCTTTCGAGTAACTAATTGCTTGAAAGTTGGACAATTTATATCCATTTGTTCATAAGTGTACTAAAAAGATGATTTGGGGACCTAAACACAAGAAAAAAATGAATGAGCACTGAAGTGAGTAAAGGGGTAATGTATGGGGACTGCCGATGAAAATTTTCCTATTTTATATACATGCTTGTTCATCCATTCACATACTCTACCAGTGATGAAGTGTATAAGGAGTTAGAATTTATGATGAAGTGGGATCGCAAGGTAAAATAATGATTTCATGATAACTTTGGGTTTGTCCGTTTTTGACGAATTAATAGTCTAATTTGAGTGGAAACGGGCCAAGGATCACAACTCATCGCCTTCGGCCATGACGTACGTCGGATTTCGGACAGATTCCATCGTTTAGGCTCTCGATCACGCGTTTTTGCCGTTTATGGTAATTTTTATTTTGGTAATATCTCATTGAATAAAATTCGGATTTTGATTCCGTTTGTTGGAGGACGATCCTGAATATTAGGAGTTTCCATTTAAGTTAGAATCTCGAATTTTTCCATTTATGGAAAAATATCGTTTTTTTTATTTTTATTATTTATTTTCCGAAATTTGCTAGGGTTTTGCTATTTAAACCATTGTAAGCCCTTCGAGGCAGACATTATTGAATTGAATAAAAACTTTCGTGAGTTTATCTCATATTTGTGAGGTTGTTCATCTTTCCTACAATCTTCCGCTACGTCAACCAGTCTACTGTCTACCCCCATACATACACGTGTATACATACAATGTGTATCCAATATCCATTATTGGTTCCCTGTGAGATTTATGCGTATGTATATGTTCTAGTTCATCTATAATTTGTAACCTTTTTTATAACCTACTCTCCCCTATACTATGGCCCCGTTCGGGAGGGATTAAAAGCCAATTAAAATTGAAAATATGACCGTTATTGGGTTCCACTCGTCTAATAAAAGTCAACAATAACGGCTATATTTTCAATTTTAATCTGATTTTAATCACTCCCATACAAGGCCTATATATACTACCATTCTCTCTCTCTCTCACTCACACACACACGAATTTCTCTGTTAATACAGATGCTGCATCTGCTTGGTCTGTCTGATTTTTATTTATTTATTTATTTTTGACAAATTGCAGACCTCCACACACACACACACACTATTCTTATCTATCTTTTTGCAAGTTGCCACTTTACTGGGACATCTATAATAGAGTCGTTGTCAGAGAATCAATGGCTGAGAAGACTAAGTCAGTCATCTTCCTTTCCACCTGTCTGTAAGTCTTTTCTCTCTTTGTACGTACTATGCTGCTTTAGTTTGCTTCACTTTCATATTTCTTCCACTGTTATGCTACATCATCTCATTGGGTACTTTTAGACTTAGCACAGGAAAAATTTTAGCAGACTTTGAGCTTCATTTCTGAGGTACTCTCTCTCTCTCACACACACACAAACACATACTAGTCTTCTTCAAGTTTCAGTCTTTTTCTTCAATCATCCCCCACACCAGAAAAGGAATGTTTAAACTTTTTCACATCATTCATCTTTTTAAAACAGTAATTAAAAAAAAATTTGTACAGTATCAGCAAATTGCAGATGAGCTCTTTTTCTAGTTTTCCGTTTTCTGGGTTTTATTTACATGATAATATATTTTTTTTACAATTAAAGAAATTTCTCTTGCTGCATTGATTTGAAATTAAAACTTTCTTTTTCCAAATGTGGGCCTTGTGGGTTGGTGTGTGGGTTGTTGGGGGTTGGGATGGTGAAATTACTGCTATTTTTTTTTTTCAACTTTTGCTCCAAAAGCCCTGTTTTAATCTGACTGTCTTACCTAAAAAGTTGGAAAAATTACCCTGTTCAAAAAGAAGACCGTTCAATCATCAATTTTGAACACTGATAATTCCAAAAAAGAATAAAAAATCTACTTCTAATTTGGGGAAAATTCAATTCCTTAAGACTAGACTGTGTCTTGAAGTTGTATTAGCATGGAAATCAGCAATTCTGAATGTTGAATTTTGGAGTAAACTATTAATTATATTGTATCCCCTTCTTGATATACTATTTTTGTATATTTTAATTTTGAATGTTAATTTACCGATAGGGATTGCCAATGTTGAGTTCTCTTCTGAATATGGCCTATGTATTTACTTGAATTTTTTGGAGTGGTAAATGAAAAACATTTAGCCTTTAGGATTAGCAATAGCTTGCAATTGTGTGTTTCTTTTCTGCCTTATCTGGGTTTGGAAATTGGATTAATCAATCTTGATCTTTGTTTGTGATTTTTTACTATTCAGACTTGATGTTTAATTGGCTGGTCGAGTACGGTAAGGATGTTATTGAGGATCAATGGCGGATCGGTTTCGGAAGAGCTTGATTGAGAGTAAACGGAGTGTGGACTATTTCGGAGAGAAAAACTGTTACCCTGTTTTCAATTTTCAGCACTGTGAGTAGCAGATCAGCAACTTATAAGTATAGAGAATATTGGGGGTTTAAATTAAAAAGCTGTTGGGATTAAGGATTTGGAAGTTATAGGATTTGTACTCTTCCAAGACTTTTCAATGGATTCATCATCATTTTCTGGATCATCAAAAAGGGCAAAAGCTCCTGGAAATGTTACCCAAATTGCTCAGTGCTTGGTTGATGGGTGTAATGCTGACCTAAGCCTGTGTCGAGATTATCACCGGCGCCATAAGGTCTGCGAGATACACTCAAAAACTGCAAAAGTCACCATCGGGGGTCGAGAGCAGCGATTTTGTCAACAGTGCAGTAGGTAAAGTTTATAAATTTTCTCGGTCACTTACCTCTTGGTCTATATTATCCTGGTTGTTTTATAGGTTTATCCAAAGATAACTAATGGAGAACATATTGTGTTAATTCTTTTCTGTCATATGATCCTTTACCATTTTGTTCTATTGATGCATTAGTCCTCTTAGGTCCTGGTGACATTTGAAGCACATTGATTACAAATGGATTTATTAGAAGTTTGTTTTTATCAGTCATATCGATTAATATAGCATGCAGCAAGTAAAACGCTTTCAAAACTGCTATATGATTCTATGATTACCATAGACATCAGTAATAATGTAATTTTGTTCATTTTTGTGTCAGGGATAAACCAAAATCCAAGTTACAAAAATCAAAATCTTAAGTAGGCAAAGCTCACTTTATAGTTCTTCACCCTCAATGTGAAAGTTATATCAACTAGCCGTTGCAGATTTAACACTATAATGAAGAATAACTACACAAAGGATCTCATACATCTCTTATTATGGAAACAGCTTACCTCTAAAATCCTTATATATAGTGAGAATATTATGGGCAGCTTAGCATATATATGGACTACCAATATACCCCTGAATAATGTTTTTCACCAATTTTGTTCACCAAGTGAACCATATTTAGGCTCCACGAATCTGACAATCTAGTTGAATTTCCTGCTATTCTATATTTTTTTGAAAAGGGTGTTCAACTTGCATGAACTGTTTAGGATGTTTTAAAGAAGGTGGAAGTTTTTAATATTTTGGAGATAAATACAAAAGGTCTGAGACGACCTAGAAAGCACTGAATCATCAACTTTGTATGCCAACTTAGCTATTGAGTATTTACTTAGAGCTATTTTTTTTTGCAATGGGTAGTAGCAATTTTATAAAAGGAGTCAAATTCTTTGCGCAATTATAGTAACTTTGGTTGGTTATATGCTTGTTATTGTTCTAATGACATCTTTCTAATATGCTTGTTGGACTTCATAAATGGGTTTTGAAATGGATATATTTACATGAAGCTATTTTCTTACGCGCTCTTTCTTTGAGCCCAGCTTTTAATTCATGACTCTTCCTATAACTTGAGTTGTTTCCCTTATTCTCGAAGAATAATGTTATGTGTATAATGAAGTTATATAATGGTTTAAATACAAATGAGATGTTAAAAAAAGAGTAGGGGAGTTTTTTTCTTTTATTTGATTGAAGAAATTCAGATATAATCATTTCTCTCCACATTATGTATATGTAAACTATTATGTACATGTAGCACAACTAATTCTCAAATTAGTATCAATTTTCAAGTGCCACTATTTACTTGTTTCTTGACCAACTTTACTATATTTGATTGTATTAAACCTTGTTGAGATTTCTCCAATTTTAGTGCAACAAATTCTATTTCATTGCAAAGACAAGTTCAAATCCATCTCTTTCTGATTGTAGTCGACTAACGTGGGTGGAGCTTTTGGAATTATTGAAGTACCTCTACATAGCTTCTGCTTGCTAAGCTGGTGTTGATCCTGAATTCAGTTTAGACTTGAAGTACCTTATTGCATGTAAATTTCAATTTATATCTATTTTGTAGGTTTCATTCCTTGACAGAGTTTGACGAAGGAAAGCGAAGCTGCAGGAAACGTCTTGATGGGCACAACAGGCGCCGGAGGAAGCCTCAGCCCGACACTCTGTCCAGAAGTTCTGGATTGATGTTTCCCACCCAGCAAGGTTAGAATTAACCCTCAAAATCTATGATGTTTTATAAAGAGACTTTATGGCATTTGTTTGTTTGCATGTTCGGATATTGTATTTCTACTCGAACAAACTTGAAATGCAATACTTCTGTCAAATTGACTCACTTGAAGCATGTTGGCTAAGTTCAAAAAGAAGAAAAACAAGTTTGGATGACTTACTCTTTTCTTAGCGTTTAAATAAAAAAAGTTACTTATTGTGAAAGTAACTCGTACTTTAATGTTAAAATAAGTATCTTGCTGCTTTCCAACTTTGATGATAAAAAATTACTTTTATTTGAAACTTATTTATTTACTTATAAGTAACTTTTTAAGCTTAGCCAAATGTGATGGCGTTTGTTTGTTTGGGTGAACCGTCTTGTTGCTGCAGGTACACGAGTTCTCTCGTTTAGTAGCCCAGAAATACAACCGAATCCCGTTCCGAGCTCATCTTGGGCCCGGGTTGTGAAAACAGAGACTAATATGGTTCTATACAACAATCAACCACACTTGAATTACATCGAGAGACAAAATACATACCCTGGAAGTTCAGCTCATAGCTTTAAAGGAATAAATCAACTTCAATTCTTGCAAAGCACTCACCAAAGTATCCAAGAAAACTCCATCTGTCAACCTCTTCTTGATCCGAATGCTGCATCAGGAAGTAATAATACCTGCAACCAAAATATTTATTCTGATGGGTTAAGTCAGGTCGTTGACTCTGATCGTGCTCTCTCTCTTCTGTCATCGGCCCCTGCTGTCTCTCGGGAATTCGGTTTGCACCATGTGGTGCAGCCTGACCCAGTACTCTCCAATGCGCAGTCAGTTCACAGCATGCAGTATATCAGTCTAGGCCAGTACTTGTATCCTCGAGAAGTTGAAAGCAAGCCAGTAGGGCTTGATATGGATTCCCATGGTAGCAAAAACTCCACCTTCAATTTTCAGGGGATATTTATGAATGAGCCCGACGGATCGTCTACAAGTGGATCCCACCAAACGCGGACATTCACGTGGGAGTAAATTTAGCTTAATTCTGTTGGCTTCTTAGTGTCAAATATACTTTGTTTCTATTCTATCTTTTCTTTGCTAACCACATGATATTGAATTCTCGAGGCAGAAAATGCCTTTCGAAGGAATTTCCCTTGTGTGCTCCTCTTTCTTCTCTCTTTTTGTATTATGTGAGCCTCCATGTGTAGTACTGTGTACTCTTGCCTGATTCTTGTTCATACAGCCGCGGCCAGGGACCGCACGTAGACAACTTTGTGCTGTACTGGACCCAACACGATCCCGTAATGGACCACAAACGTGGCACGGCCTAGTAGTTGGGGAAGACCCTGCTATTCCAACTAGTGCTGTGTAAATGCCAGCCCCTTGTTAGAAGGGATCTGTGTAATATAGACACCACTATCGCAAAGCAAAGCAGTTGCTGGAGCTGCGATGGTTGCTTTGACGTACTCAACTGTGCGCTCGTTTGAATCTTAATCGAATTGTATTGTTCATTGAATTTTTGATATCATATTAAGATTAGCGTTTATCTTAAACATCAACAGGAGTAATTCAGGTTTTTATATGTTTGTTTGTATTATCATCCTTATTTGATGTGAGATTTTATTCCTTAACATGACTAACATGTTGACACAAATGTTGCAATATATTTTTGTTTCAAGCAATGGCTTAAAAGTCAAAATACCAACTCTTGTGAACGAAAAGGTTTATAAGTGGATCAATGGTTACATTAAGCATAGCTGAATGAGAAACATGTAGGGTATGGTAAATTTTTCTCTTACTGGATTGGATTAGGTCAGGTCTAAACAATTTTCCACATTTAACAACAATAAAAATGAGCTAACAAAAAGATGGCCCATTTCTCTCAATTGGATTGAATAAGATCAGGTCAAAACCAATTTGATCCACATTTTCATCCTAAGTCGAAGGGATTGAATTCTGACCCATAATAATTTGTGACATGTTATATGTACATAAAAATTGGTACATGGGGGGTGTCCACACCCTCACATGTATGTATCAATTTTGGACGTGAGGGTATGAACACTCATGTGTAACAATTTTTATGTACACCAAGAATTATTCTAATAATCTATGGTGTTTTTGAACTTCTTTCTGCATCTCTATTTTTAAGAAACAAGATTATTTCGAGGGTCATTATATTACTTTCGTTGCCACAATCTTGTGCTTTACGCAATTTGGAAAACGACGCTATTGATGCATCAATGGTTATGCAATTGTGGTCCTCATAAATTAAATGCATTTTTAGTACACATCATGTAATGATCGTATCTTATTTTTATTTACTAATATTTGGTATTGTCTAATCTACTTACCAAATGTGCGATAATTACTCTACAATTCTTACTTGGTAGGTCGTGAATAGTTTCTATGTATATGCCATTAAATTGTAGCTCTTTATTGTGTCATAAAAACAAAATTTTAAAATCGAATTAAAATTCAATTCTATCATTTCTATAAGTTACGAAGTTAAACAAAGGTTACGCTAAATTTTGCTAGTCCTAAATGTAAACTATGATAGTGATACTAACGACAAAATAAAATAATCTACAATTAAAATAGGGTTCTCTAAATTTGCACCGTCCAATGTGCTTGATTAGAAAGAAGCCAATTAAAAGTTATGAGATCATGTAACAAGGCATCGACCTCACGTTCCTTTCAGACCAGCTCAGCTGGGAGCTAATGAAATGACAAGGACAACTCAAGAATATTCTTCTGCATTAATTAATTAAATTGGACCTTAAATGCCACTCAAATAGAGAAAAATAATTGGTCCTTTCTTAAACTACTTACACTTATAATTTCTTTCACTAGTCAATAGTATGATTAAGATGGATAGAGAATCATAAACCTAGTATTTTATGATTATAAGAGTATTAACACAACTTTATTTTGTTGTAATATAATTTATTATCAGTTATAACTCACAAATTATTTCAATCTATTATGTGGATCACCGAAAATAGTCTTTTAATTTAGATAAGATTAAGTTACATCCTTTGGTCAAGAATTTTGGACAGCTCTAACATGTACTATTTGGGTGGCAATTCGGACTTTCGATGAAAGTGATGGCTTCGAAGTTTGAGTCTTTAACGAAAATGTCATCACGAGTACAAGACGTTTTCATAATAATACAATAATTAGTTTGACGGATAGTAAGAAGAGCAAGAAAATATTTATTTTTAAAAAAACTAATTTCTGAAGACATTCAATCACGTTTAGAAAAAGAAAAAAAAAATACATAAAAAGCTAATTTTAATTTTTCCTAGTATTGGGCCAAACATGCTCTTAATCCTAGGATAACCCAAAACTTAATTAATCAAGAACATGGGAGGGCACGGAAATTGCAATTATTCCTTGCAGTCCACACTCTCCAACTGCTTCCTTTATGTCAAGGCTAATAAAGAGGACTTATAAGTACGCACAATTAACCAAGCAGAGCCTTTAAATTTTTGGCTTTTTTTAAAACCCACCATATAATAAACCAGACAAAAGAGTGTGTGATATTTGGCTAAGACAATTGAGGCCATTGATAGACATCTTTCATGATAAGACTTGGTGGGGAACTTTGTTTTTTGTTGCTTGTTGAATTATTAATAAAAAATAGTGAGATTTTTCATTGATTTTTTTACATCCGAATCGTTATTTCTTTCGTAAACTTGTTGATCAAGAATCAAGTCTCGACATTTGCACATGAATCAACGAATCTTGATTGTCAAATATTTGGTACTCTTGTGAAGAATTATAGAATATTTGAGTGTGTCCTTAGTTGACGTTAATTTAACGATTATGATTGCATCGAACTGATATCAGAGCATATCTTGTTTATGATAGAGACGTGGTTTTATTCATGAAGCCTGATGATGGAAGTGATGATTTCAATTTTGATGTACTGAATTTATTTTTCAATATATTTTGACATTTTGATAAATTTCTGTCTTAGTAAATTGAAAATTGTTGACACATCGATATATCATATATTGACACCTTCCAATTTATTAAGTAAGCTTGAGAGAACAAATCATCTTAGGATTGAATGGTCATTAGAGTTGGTGAGTTATGGGGTGGCCAGTGGCGTGGATGGGGCTTTAGGGGGGTGGTCCCGGATGACCATTAGATGTGACCTACATTGAAGTGATTTTCCTAAAACGGAATAAGGTCCATGTGGTTTTATAGCTGAGCCCCAAAGTGTCTGCTATTTTAAGGTTAAAAATCTGGCAGGATTTGTACCTTCTGTCCCATTAAATTTTTGGTCCCCTTTTAATCAAATACAGTGATATTACTTTTGGAAGCTTTGACAGATTCAAGTTCAACTCTTTTAAAAGCAAACAGTAGTGATGAGATGAACCGGTCACCGGTTCTCTCCACTTGCAAGCGAGCATGAGCCCAACATCAAAATACTCACCTAGTTGAGCAGCTACCATGACTCTTTGTTTTCAGTCATGTAGTCAGGGGTGGACTCATGATTGTAGTTCAGTGCAGCATAACAAATAATTTCAAATTAGATCTACTTTGTTAGGTTTGGGTTAAAAATTATGGACCACATAATAGATTAAAAGGTATGGACCTTTTTTTGCAACAATAGTGAAATGTATGGACATTATGTGCTAATTACCCTTTGATTATTTTATTTTGTGACTTATTTGCACTTTTTTTAAAAAAAATTGGGACTGTAATTGCAATCCCCCTTTTTTTCTTTTTGTTTTATTTAAAGAGAATGATATATTCGTTATTTCATAATTTTTAATTGAGAAAATAGGTGAAAATGATATTTTGCACAATAAAATATGGAAATAAGGGTGAAAATACTAAAAAATGAAAGGTGGGGGACGTTATGTGCTAATTACCGCTTCTTTTAAATAAAAGAGTTTATCATATGATTCATATCAATTCATGGGATGCTAGCATATGCTACTAATAGTATTCTTTCTGCATAAATCACCACGTGCATATATCGTTATAAGTACATTTAAATGGAGTGGTATAAGAAATACACCGTAAGAATTGTGTTTCCGTGAGATTTTTGAGTGATAGAGAGAGAGAGAATGGGGAGAGGGAGAGTAGAACTGAAGAGAATAGAGAACAAGATCAATAGGCAAGTCACCTTTGCCAAGAGAAGGAATGGATTATTGAAAAAAGCTTATGAACTTTCTGTTCTTTGTGATGCTGAAGTAGCTCTGATCATCTTCTCCAATAGAGGAAAACTGTACGAATTTTGCAGCAGCTCTAGGTATAATATATGTGTGTGTGTGTGTGTATATATATATATATATATATATTTATATTTATTTATTTATTTATCCTTGTTCGTTTAACATGGGAGCTGTTTGTTTCTTGTTTAAATTTGTTTTCAAGATTCTATTTTTTGGGTGTATTGAGACTAACTTTGAATTTTTTGATGTAAATGGAGAAATGCAAATTATCTTTTTTGATGTTGGAAGAGTTTTTGCCATTTTAGTGAATGTTTTGGAGTGTATAGGACTCTGTGCTAGTTGGTTTTGTTAGATCTGCAAGAGGAAAACCGTAAAAGAAGATCATTTCTATATATTTTATCTTGAGTTTTTTGCAGCTTGCAAGTTTCTTGCTTTTAAGCCCTTTCCTCCTTTGACATATTTAAATATCAGATTTTACGTGTTTCATATCTTACTGATTTTGATAGTTCATTTCTTGGTTGATCTGGCTAATTTTCAAGTTTTTCAAAATTATTTTCTTGTTTTAGTTGTTAACCTA